TTCCCCTCCCCTCCCTCCCCTTCATTCCCCTCCCCTCCCTTATGAGAAGTTCCAGGTGGCAAGTGATATGATAGAGCTTCTCAATCCAATAGCTGAGTCAAATAACTGGAAAACCCCTAAACAACCTCTGAGCTGATGTAAGGCAGGGCATGGCTAACTTAGATATGAATTTAGACCAAACAAGCTCTAGGCTTTATCTTGATGCTGAGTCCAGGAGTCATCAAACCTGGGACCAAAGAGGTGAGGCAAGTGCACGTGACTACCGTACATCACCCTGCACTCCTTAGAGACTGGTAAATGTATAAGAGTATAAGAGATTTTACCCTTAAGGTCTGCAATGACTAGGTCTTTTGTCACTAGTAATATGGGACATCCTACTGCAATTCCATCTGGGAATCTATAGTCCTCTTTAGTTCCTGGCTTCCTCTCTCACCTGCCCAATTCCCACTGTATCATCTAAATGAATAACTAAAGACACCAATGTCCATAACGGCCAGTCCTATTTGCTTCAGTCTTAACATGTATGACATGAATTGTGTGCTGGGTAAACACTAGTCTAAAAACAGACATGTTATCAGATATCATGGAGGGCTCTTGTCTTTGTACAGTGCCAAGGAAACTAAATATCGAAACTGTTGGCATACCATCGACCATAGACCTCTTCTGAGATAGCGTACATGGTGCATTGTTGTCTAGCTTCGGTACAAACATTTTTTGTTCATCATGCGTTATATGGTGTTGTTTGTACCAAAGCTAGACCACAGTGCATCCTGTCTATCAATTCAGAATTGGTCTATGGCCAGGGAGTTCGGTAAGGCCGCGCGCGATGCGCACGCATGCGCGATAGCTAGAACCCCAAGGACCGCAAAAATGAGAGTAAAAGTCGAAACGTCCATCATAAATAATATGCAATGCAGTGCACTTAAAGTATTGTAAAAAAACAATTGATTCGATGAAACAGAACTGAATGAAATAATGAATCGACGAAAGGTAAATATAAAAGACAGTTTTCTTTGATCAGATACAAAGTAGGCGCTTCTGTTCAAATATAGACATCAATAGGTAACAGTATCAAGGTGAAGGAGAGATAATAGGCACGCTCCAAGGTCCGTATTTTGATAATAAGAGTGTTTATTTTTGCTTCACTTTCTTTCTTAAATGTTTCCTGTCTGGTTAATAACGAGTAAGCTAAATCAAACAGCGAAAATGTACAAATTAGTACAAAATTAGAAATAGAGAAATAGTGTCAAAAACATCCAGGAGAGAGAGAGAGAGCGGAGAAAAAAAAAACAGTTAAACCTGAAGGGCTTGTCAAGCTAAAAGACTTTCTGTATTTTGGAAAATCAAGTTATTTTGTCTGGTTTTCGACTGCTCTTCAATCTGGGCTCACTATTTCTTGCTTTCAAAGCAGTTCAGTTGAGTTGGAAAGGGATCTCGTTTACAAAGCCGTTGCTGAATAACAATTCTGAGTGAAAGACGCTGAAGGAGAATTTTCAAGATTGCAATTGAATCCGATACTTCAAAGAAAAAGATGACGACTCTTAACCTTTCCGAAAAATCGATAAATATGTCTGCCACAAGAGAATTAGCTTCAAAATCTTTGGTACAGTTGTATTACAGCTTGCTTCTATCTGCGGGACTTTATCTCTCTTTACTGGCTTTCACTACGACCTGCGCAAATGGTCTCCTTCTCTGGACCATATACAAGAACTCCAAGCCTTACTTCAGAAAGCCTGTCACTGTTTTGATTGCTGCATTAGCCTTAGCGGACTTTTTGAATGGGTTAATAATAGATCCACTCTATGCGAGTATCTACTTCTCCTTGTATTTCAAATCCATATCTCGGAGTGCTTATCACAGACTAGCTGAAGTAGGCATGGTGTTTTCTGTAATCACCATGAATGCTTCGTATTTGATAGTCTTAACTTTATCCTGCACACAACTCATAGCTATTTCTTTCCCTTACAAACAGAGAACTCTCATTACTATTAGGTCTGTAAGTTTTGCTGTCGTTCTAGTCCTAGCGTATTCTATTTTATTTGCATTGTCGTATATCATGGGGATTCCTGTCAACCTTTTCCAGAAACTTGAAGTATTTTTGAACATGACTGGAATAACTGTTGTCCTGATAGCTGCTTATGTTTGCTTACAAATTTCATACACAAGGCAAAGAGGCAAGTTTCGTCGACTGATGACTGCCAGCAAAATCCAAGGCCAAGAGGAATCGCGCGTTCATCGTGACCCTAATTCGGTAGCCGGTAGCAGAAAGGTTCTGATGGTAAACCTTTTGCTCATTGGCTGTTTATTGATAACAAGTCTGCCTGTCACTGTGATTTGGTATCTTAGGCTTTTTTCCATAAAGCTGCGCACAGAATCTCAAATGTTGGCTTATCGAAATGTGGCTCTTGTTGTTGATAATTTTCTATTCTTGAAGTTCCTTGTGGATCCATTCATCTACGCTTGGCGCATGCCCAAGTACCGCAAGGCTCTAAGACAAACAATCAACTTTCTGTTTAACTGTCAGGCGCGTTCCGCAAGGAGACAGGGATCCAATACTCAAAACTCACTAGGAACGATGATACACATGCTTAGCCATAGGAGAATGAGCTCACGACAAACCAGGAGTTTGCGAGAGGTCGTCGAGGAAGACGCTGTATAACCACCATTGTTAACGAACTGTCGCGAGGGCACGTTAACGGTCTTCTGGCCACTTCACAATGTTGTAAACCTTGTCTCAAGCAAGCGGATGTTCGATATGTGATGTTTGTCTATAGAAATCTTGCTCTAAATTTTTATCTTGGGGTCAAAACAATTAAAAATCAATGACAAAATGGTTCATGAGAAGGGAATTCAAATAGAATCCTAATAGTAGACAGTTGCTATGGACGTGATACTGAGGGGAGTGGGGGGAGGGGTTGTAACCCAGGACAATAAGGCGCAATAAGATATGTGGCAAGAGACCATCATGAAGGACTAGTTCCTCATTATCACGGTCCCTTGGATCTGGCTACTGATCTTACTGTGGGATTTACAGGGTCGTGCATGGTCCAGGCAGGTGAAATTATGAAATAAACCCAGAGAAATTTTTCTCTTCAATAAACTTACCACTAAAAATTGTGTCGTAATTTGTCCACATTCTTGGGGATGGGGGTCCTTTGTTGATTTTACATTCTAACTGCATACTACTGTACAAGGTTATGGGCTACCTGTGTCATTTATCAGCGGATTCTTCGTGGCAGCCATTTTGTATTCGAAAGAACAACATGTGACTGTTTCTTCTTGAATAAAAATATTGAAATAATACTCTTATCGCCATAAAAATGGTGAAGAACAGAAAGAAAGGTAAGATTAGATTACAAATGACCTAGATCAACCCCAACAGTTATTATATTTGTGTGGGTTTTCAATGAACAAGTTGACGAAAGTTTGGTTAAGCTTATGTAAAAATCTCATTGAGGTGATGTTTGTGTTGTACCTTTTATACCAGGAGAGATTCAGGCTTCCAGAGCCGAGCTGATGGTGATGACAGTATCAGAAATCGTCAAACAGCTTATCAATGCACACGAGAAGGAAGAGAATGTTAACCTAAACAAGTTAGTATTAACACTAGACTCGATGGAAGCAGACATTGTAATTTTAAAAGTTTGCCACTGTTTTTACTGCTACGAGCTGATCAAGACAGCAATTACGACATGGAAATCGGGCTACAGACTACCAGCAATCAATTAAATTGTTTGGTACCTTTATATTCTCTGATTTACGGCAGTGTATTGCCCTATTTTCCTGTCGCAACTGTTTTCTCAATCAGAGTGTAGCAATGAAAACAGTGGTAACTGCTTTCAAAAGGGTTCTTTTGCTCTAGAAATAATAAATATTGGTAATCAATAAATCAATATTAATTGATCAAATTAATTAATATCTATTAATATTGGTAATATTGGTAATTGATGTTTTAATTGATAGTTACAAAAAAGGAAAGTTTTTCATTATATTGATAATCATCAATTACTATTGACTATCATTGATTATCATTGACTTACATCGACTACTAATCTATATAAAGCCACTCATTTTCTATTTACCAACTAATCATTGATTACCAGTATTAATCAATTAATCAATTAGCACAGATGACAATTAATTATTATTGAACAGGAATCAAACCTGAGACCCCAGAAGTGCTAGAAGAGACAAGTGTATTACAACTACACTACCCTTGTTTTTGTTGTTGCATAATTAAGCGAGGATGATGATTAAGTACATTGCAAAGTACCCCACAACCATTAATCTCATTGCTTTACATATCTGAAAACAGAGTAAAAGGTGAAGCAGCAAGTAAATATGGCTTGGCAAGTCAACCAAGATTAGTAGATATTATAGCAGCTGTTCCACAGGCTTATCGAAAGGTAGGTTTTACTAAGGTACTTGTTACAAAAGATCAAGGAGTAATAGGAGTATGTGTGTCCATCACTAGACACTTTGCACCAGGATGTGATGGCAGCCTTAACAGGAGGTTCATAGAAACAATTGAATCAGGTCTAATCTGTTTACATGAGTAAGAATTCAATTTCACAAAGAAAAAATACTGTTGTCGTACCTACAGTCATGGCTGCCATCACAAAATGGTGCAAAGCCTCTAGGTTGTCTATCATCGAACCCACTGACCCTATGGTTTACAGATTGAAATACCTTCCCTCATTTATGACTATGGAAACTATCAAACCCTAAAGTATTATTTTTAATGTGTATGTTGTCCAACGTTTTCTACTCTGTACCTCACCATTATCAAAGTGAAAAACACTACCTACCATTGTTTCATTATTTCTCCTTGTTTCTGTGCACTGGAGCATTAACTTGATCTTTGGATAATTTGTTTTTTTTCCTGTGTCTTTCAGGTTTTATTACCAAAGCTAAAAGCAAAACCAGTCAGAACTGCATCTGGGGTAAAGATACAAATTACATAGTTTACCAYAAAGTCCTGTGTATATGATTTATGTCCACCTGACCTGGTTATGAGACCACTAATCTGTCAACAAATTGGTACCAGGGTAATTACTACTAATATTTTATTTTATTTTATTATTCTCCATAGATTGCAGTTGTTGCTGTCATGTGTAAACCTCACAGATGTCCACATATCAACATGACTGGAAATATATGTGTGTAAGTAAAGATGAATAATGGGAAACAAGGATACAGTAGATTACACTTTGTAAAACTTTGTAAATCAGAAAATTAATTAACTACAAGAAATACTAATTATCAATACTATTAAGGTATTTATCCCTTTTATGTGTTTTGTTTTTTATAGATATTGCCCAGGTGGGCCAGACTCAGATTTCGAATATTCTACACAGTCATATACAGGATATGAGGTAAACAATGCAGTTACAGTTCTCGTTTTACAATGCTGTGACTTGCATCAAAGCAATAATGGAGGTGATTTTGCAATGATAGAAACGTGAATAATAATTGTCCAAAGTGTTAAAAAAGGTCTCTATCATTGCAAGGTCACTGCCATCCTCACGTTGATATACAGGCATAGTCATGCCTTTCAAGATCACACAGGGAACTGTGAAGGGGGCTCAAGTCATTGATAAATGGAATTTGCTAAATACAAACATTTTAGGTCAAGTATTGAGATTTTTTTTTCTACACAGCCAACATCAATGAGAGCAATTAGGGCAAGGTATAATCCATTCCTCCAGACCAAACATCGAGTTGATCAGGTAATGCATACTACAATCTATACAATAATAGAACAAATGCTCGTTTCTGCAAACTAGACAATCTGGAACTGGTACATCCTTATATTTGTATACTACACCTTTTGCTGTTCATTAAGAGAAAATGTACATTCATTTGTGCCAATAGTTGTATCAATAACGTGTAATGTACTTTCATCAACAC